AAGGTCAAAGCATATCAATGTGTCATTAAAAAGTCAGTGATTCCTGAATTCCAGATCCTCCTGCCTCTGCCTCCTTAGCAACATACTCGGTTCCAAAGGCCAAAAATGTTGCAAGTATTTGGGAGCTAGTATCTAATCCTTAAAAAAATTTAGGGTTACCTCTTCAGAGGGGGGAATGTTAGAGTAGCCAAAACCCCGTAAAAAAAAGAAGAAGAAGGAGGAGGAGGAGGAGGAGGAGGAGGAGGAGGAAAGAGAGAGACAGAGAGAAATGGAACAGACTTGCTCCTGACCCTGAACTAAGTGCTGAGTGCTTTTGCTCATCATCGCAAACCAAATTTGCAAAACTTGGGATGGTGGGCTTTTGCCACTCTTATTTGACAGGTAAGGAAACTGAGGCCTGGGAAACTTGTATCTTACTAAGCCTTAGATCTTCACATCAGGCATGCAGGTGAACTTTAGGGACTGTACTGCCTCTGGGTTTGGCTTTGATGAATAGACATAAGTATGGGCAATAATTTGGTGCCTGACCCACCCATTCTATTCATTTAAGCCATTCTGGTACATAGCTGGGCCTGAAGCCAGGTCAACTGACTATGAAGAAAAGAAATCTTAAAAGGTACTAGAGGCCGGGTGTGGTGGTGCACGCCTTTAATCCCAGCACTTGGGAGGCAGAGGCAGGCAGATCTTTGTGAGTTCGAGGCCAGCCTGGTCTACATAGTGAGTTCCAGGACAGCTGGGGCTGCAGGGAGACCCTTTCTCAAAAAGACCGAAAAAAAAAAAAAAGGTACTAGATACCCTTGGGCTGGTGGCCAGGCTGGAGAAGCTACTGGGTCACCTCTGATACAGCATTCAGTGGCTACTATCAGGGTCTCAGGCCTGCAGCCTCTACCTGCAGTCCCCTACTTGAGCCCACTGTGGGGTGTGCTAGGTGTAGCCCATCTTCCCAACAATGACCACTGTCACACCAACACATTTTTGGCACCAAGGTTGCCCTCTTACTACCCACAGGAATTATTTTCCTGCTTTTTGAGATACACTGATTTCCTGTCACCTGTGTCTAGACGATGTGAGTGTGACTGGTCACCCTCAAAGGGACCACACATTTTCATCTCTCTCACTCAGCACAGGACAAATGTTCCATATTCAGTAGGTTTTCACCTCAGCAAAAGTATGCCATATGAGCATGAGGCTCAGGGCAGAAATGGGACCACAGTAGAGGCCACACGATCTGGTACCCAGAGGTGGGGTTTGTTGGGTTAAGCAGAGTCTCCCAATATTTTCAAATCCTTTGTGGAGTAATTTGGATTTATGACCATTTCAAACAAAAGGGAGGTTCATTGCCACAGACCTCTGCTCCAGCACAGCCCAAGGCCATGCAGCATTTGTGAGCATGGGTCTCTGGGCCTGGCACTCACATTCATTATGTTTCCAATCTGGTTGTTGCCCAGTGACAGCACCTGTAGCTTCACCAGGGCATCTAAGGAGTCTATCTTGGAGATCCGGTTGTTGGACAAGCTCAGGTCCTCCAGGTTGACCAGGGTATCCAGCCCCTCAATGGCCTCAATGTTGTTGAAGGACAAATCTGAAAAGGAGGAGAGCTTTGAGGGTTCTAGGGGGCACTGCTTAAGTTAAGGGAGGCTTCTTGGAAGTGATTCAGTGGAGGAACTGATTTACTGTCCAACAACTCAAGGCTTTCAGGGGCCTTAGATGGACTCTTCCCTGCAGCCTCCTGTGTCCATCACCCTCCCAGTTCTAGTCACCCTCCTGACTGGGAACCCTTCTTGCCCTGTCAGCAGGTCTGAAACAGTGCCCTGGAGATCAGGAGCAGAGTTTGAGATGGCCTTTTCCTTATACCTGTGGGCATTCTAGCAAGACTGTTTCTTATTTGTTTAGCATTGCTGTCTGCCAAGTGCTTGTATGCATGTCCTCTTAAAACACCTTCAGGTGATGGCTTAGGATCACTCTGTTCAGCCAGTCAGGAAGTAGAAGCTTTGAGGCAGGAGGGTAGTCTGTCCACTATTCAGTCTCTCTCTGGGTGAGTGTGCAAACAGGTGTGCTTGTGGGACCCATGGTTTTAAAAACTCTGAGAGACAAGTTGGCCTGCTGGCTCCCAGGAGTGAGGCATTGCTCAGAACCTGAACTACTGCCTTAGTCAGCTCCTAGCAGTGCAGATAGACCCAAAAGCCCAAGAAGCAGCACTAATGAGTGCTGGGATAAAGGAAAAGGGCAGGAGGCCTGGGCCCCACGCCTGAAGACCCAGCTCTGGTCTGCTTCTGCCACTTGTAACACACAGCCCTGTCTAGCTAGTTGGGCTTTCAGAGCTTCAGGGGTTGTATCTGTGAAGTGGTCCCTTAACCTCGCCTGTGGGGTTGCTGTGGCTTCCAATATCAGCACAACCATAGCTGAGACCATTTTGGAGACTGAACACTATACTGATGGCCCTTGTTGTCCTTGTTACTAGGAAGCAGCCTGGCAAGATGAAAGAGCATGTGCTTTGGGATGTGACGGGAGTGGGATAAGCCCAGCTCTGCTACTGTGTGGCTGTGCCTCTCTGAGCTTCAGCTCTCTTTTCTACCACCTGGGATAGAAACAGCTGTTAATCATCATTTAGGACCATTGTGGAGCTAAATAAGACAAAGTATTTCAGAAGCTCTTGAGCCTGTCCTCTTTTCCCCCTTAGATGTTCCCCTGCCCCTTCTAGTTGTAAAGACTCCTAAGAGGCCAGGCCCCCAGTGACCTTGGCAGTGAAGACAAAAAACACCAGAGTCAGACAGAGCTGGGCTAGGAGCCTGAGGCCCCCACTTAACTTGCTGACCTTGGTTTGTTCATCTTTATGATGGGGATGCTGTGTGGAGCAAGCAGCCTCATGTGAAGCATGCGTAGGCCACGCTCATTACAAGGGCCATCTGTCCATCCATGTCTAGATGAAATGTGAGTCCAAGGATGCCCCTGTGCCTACCAGTCTGAGAGGCTGGCAGGTGGGAGAGAAAATTCTGTTTGGTATGGAGCAGAGTATCTCTGTTGTGCTTTGCCCCAGGCTTTTAACAGATAGTAGCTTTCTTGCTCCTGACAGATAGAGCTTCTGCTGTGCCTGGGTTAATGACAGACTGGCAGCTGAGTGTCACTGTGATTACTCTGCAGGGAGGCAATGACCTAAGCCAGGTCTTACCCAGCCAGACCAGGTGTGTGAGGTTCTCCAGGCCCTCGATCCTCTCGATGATGTTGTTGTTCAGCTGCAGCTTCTGCAAGTTCTCAAACTGCCAGAGGTTGTCTATGTGGAGGATGTCTGAAACAGTCAGAGGGGCCAGCCTTGACTCAGGATGATGCTTTGTGCCAGGGTACTGGCAAACCCAAGTGTAATCATATGGGGGCCCACAGCTCTCTTCCTGCTCTAGAGTACCCAGGGGACCTGAAGATAGAGGAGCATATGAGTGTGGGATCAGCACTGCCACCCAGCGCCACTGGGAAGGACTAAAGAGGTTCATGGGGGCAGAGGGATGGAGCTAAGCAGGCGTCTGGGTGCAGGTAAACTGGGCCTGTCCAGTGCAGGACACACTCACTCATACTGCCCCTGGGACTGGGCTGGGGTTCCTGAGGAGACTGCACCTTGAAATACAGGCTGCAAGCAGAGGTCAGCTTTCTATAAACAGAATCAAGATATGGTGTGAGGGTCAGCCAACTAGTTCTACCTTTGGAGAATCATTTGACAACATTTACTGAAATATTCAATGTCTGTGCCCTTTGACCTGCAATTTTCTTGAACTCAGACCCCAGATACACTATAGAAATACCTATAGATATGTGAGGGCAGAAAACAAGAGGGAAAACCCAAATGTTCACATGTAAGGTATGGGATAAATCACTCACACAACAGGGAGGCAGGACCCAGATAGCATGGCAGCATGGGGACCTTGCAGCTCTGAGGACCCCACCTTGACTGTGTAGCCATTCTTCCCCTGGGCATGTCAGCTGGCCAGGCCAGAGCTTGGTTTCTGTCACTAGAAGCATCATTTACATATAAATAAATAAACACTGTATATGGAAAATTCTAGAGGCCAATAAGGGTAAACTCAGTGCCTCCCAGCTTTCCCAAGAGGCTGCATATAGCTCTGCTGTTATGTGCCCCTTAATATATTTGCTTTTGTAGTTATTACAAAACTGTAATCTTAGTATATACTCATTTAAAGAAGGGAAATATTACTGGATGGGCATTGATAACCTTGAGTAAAAGGTTAAGAATCCTTCTGGTGCCAACTAACAGACTAAATGTCCTGTTTCTTTGTACCCTAAATCTTTGTATGTGACTGCCATATCCCACGTGACTGCTAGTTCCTTGGGATGTATAAAAACCATCTGAATTTTAAAACAAATCGGCTTGTTGGAAAGACACAGGTCCCAGGGTCTAAGACTCTGTCACCGATCAAGTCCTCTGCCCCGAAGCCAGTAGGTCCCCCGCAACACGTGGTGGTGCACATCTTTAATCCTAGCACTCGGGAGGCAGAGCTAGGCAGATCTCTGAGTTCAAGGCCAGACTGGTCTACATAGTAAGTTCCAGGCCAGCTGGGGCTACAGAGAGAGACCCTGTCTCAAAAAGACAAAAAAAAAAAAAAAGTATTAAGAGGCTGGCACGGGGGTATACACCTGTATGAGGAGGTTGAAGCAGGAGGATTGCAAGGCTAGCCTGGGCTACACAGTGAGCTCCTGACTTAAAAAATAAAAACAAGTCAGGTATCCTTGTACATGCCTTTAATCCCAGCACTTGTGATGCAGAAGTATGTAGATCTCTGTAAATTCAAGGCCAGCCTGGTCTACATGGCAAGTTCCAGGCTAGTCAGGGATACAAAGGGAGACCATGTCATACAACAACAACAACAAACAAACAAACAAACAAGAAAACAAGAACAAAAACTGAGACTAGTGGTACACTGTCCTCAGGCCTGCTCAGATGGCTCTGGCCTGCTTCATGGCCTTTGCATTGGCTACTCCTGTGTTTCACACTTTCCCCAGTAGATCGCCACATGGCTCCCTCACTCATCTCCTTCAAGTATTTATTCAATTGTCATCTTCTTGGCAAGCCCTCTGGAAACACTGCACCCTGCTCTTAAGTTCCCTTTTCCCCTTTCTTTGCTTTATTTTTCCCCACAGTCCATATTACCTGTGACAATCTATTTTCTCTTTTTGTCTCTCCCACTTGAATATCAACTCCATGAAGGCAAGATTTTTTGTCTTTTGGAACAACATCTGGCATCTCATAGGTAGAATGCCCATTGTGGGTGGGAGGCAGGAAACAACAGGTAAATGACCAAGTGCTGAAGCCCCACCTGCATCCTTTCAGGGAAACTGCAGCTCAGTCACATTCCCAGAGGCCACACCGGCTCAGGGTCACATTCCCAGAGGCCACACTCAGGGAGGCCTGTGGGTTATGTAAAGCTGGCCTGGGCCAGGTCCGCTTGCCCATAGGTCTGCGGGTCCTAGTGTTTGGTATAGAGCTCTGCGTCTTTGCTGTTAATTGAATGCTGAGACAGCTGTGGCCGGTAACACTAGGTCACTTTCTGTGGCCTCACCTGTTTAGTTTACAGGGGGCTCATGATGCTGGCCCTTCTTATTCCTCCTGCTCTTCTTTTTCGGCATTGCTGGGATTGAATCAAGAGTCCCCACATGGCAGTTGCAAACCGTCCTTAACTCCAGTTCCAGGGGAATCTGAAGCCCTCTTCTGACCTCTGAGGCATTGCATGACACAGGTGCGTTCACATGCATGCTGGCAATATACTCATGTACATAAAAAATTTAAAAATAATAAATTTTTAAAAATTAGAAAGAAAAGAGTCTTGTGCATAAATCCTCTACTACTGATCTACTTCCCTAGTCCCTTGTATTTCTGAAGTAGGCTCTCAATATGTAGCCCATGATGGCCTTGAACTGGAGGTCCTTCTGCCTCTGCCTCTTCAGTGTTGAGATTACAGCACAAAGCTAAGCTCTCTTCTCCCTCTCATTCCTGCCCTGGATCACTGGTTTACACTTATTGGTCTTACAGCATGATCCAGACACTATGTACATGTAATCTCACTTTTCTTCCCAGCCAGCACTTGAGGCAGGAACTACTAGCATCCTATTTCACACATGGGGACATTGAGGCAGTAGGTCCCTGAGTCATGTCTTCTGCTGGGCTGCCCTGTCATACCTCAGGTGCTTCAGGGCCCTCCATGCTCTTGCTGTTCTAAGCCCTTCTTGGGACACCCTTCCTCTCAAGCCACTCCCCCAGTGCTGGCTCCTCTTCCTTCTCCCAGCACTCCCACCCTGGCTCCCGCAATGTAGTGTCTTCTTGGTCCTGTCTACCACTCCAAGGACGCCAGTGTGGAACCATATGATGGAGAGCGTGGTCTCTGGAGTTCACTTAGGTTTAAAGCAAGGAATCTAACCTTTTTTCTGTTTTTATTCAGAATCATGAGTGTGGATGGATGGAGCTGCTATGTTTCTCCTGCTCCTATGCCTGGTGGGCTCTAATGCCAATGTGGGTTCCTTGACCTCACTTTATGTGGAATTTTGGGGCTTGAACTAGGGCAGAGAAAGTCAGGGAGGCCCTACCCCACCCTAAGTCCCACCCCTGACATCCAGGATACCTACTCTGGAAGTCCAGCTGCAGTGACAGGACATCTTTGAAGAGGATGTCCTCCTGCTTGGCTAGCCGCCCGGCCTCTTCCTGAGGACCCTGTTCCCCGACAGCTACCTTGAGCATGTTGTCATCCATCACTTTCAGCTGCATTGAGTCGTAAGGCCAGCTCATCTTCCCTGAAAAATTGCATTCTTCTTTCACAGACTGCTTCTTTGGTTTGAGGGCAGAACTGGGTTAGGTCTCTTTTAAGGTCATGGGCTGCCCACTCCCAAGCCCTGGCCTGCTGTACCTTGGGGTGGATGCACTGGCATGAAGGCTGCCCCAGGCCTTCCCAGCAGCCACCAGATCTCTCCACAGGGGGCTTACTGCTTGACCTCACAACTACAGCTGTGGCACTACCTGGTCCCACAGAGCAGGTATCCACATTGGTCTCCTCAGTCTGGGGTTCTCAGGCCCCTGCAAGGCTGTGTTCTTGGGGCCAATCTGTTTCTGTCTTCACAGTGGTCTCTTCATACCCAGACACAGACTGTGTTCCTTGGAAGTGCCAGCCAAGGGTGCCAGCTCACAATAGACTTCTGAGAGTACTTCATCTCCAGGAAGACAGTCATGTGTGGAAGAGTCACTGACCCAAGATGGCCATTCATGCTCTCCCTTGAGAAATGGGAACCTTGGGGAATCTCAGAATGAGTGCCCACAGAGCTGGCTGCTTGACAGGGAGGAACTATGTAGCTAGGGTTGGCCAGGCACATGGGTAGGCAGAGAGCAAGAGGGGATATGGTGCGTATATAAATAAAAGTAGAGATGGGACCCTGGGTGGTCCAGAAAAAAGATGAAGGACAAACAGACACAGAGACTGCTTTCTTGCTGGTTCCTTAAGTCCAGGCCCTGTGTGTATCTTTGTCCTCTTCTGTGATTTTGTATTTCTCAACATTAATTTCTGTTACTGAAGCTAAGTTGGGTTCAGCTGCTAATAGCTTAAAGGACTTTGCTGGGGAAGTATAATGAAAGCAGGCCTATGCATTGTGTTAGTCATACTCTAGGCTATCTATCCCTGGCCTGGTATGTTAGGCAGAGACACAGCTCTGGAAAGCTTGGTGCTCAGACCTCACTGTGACCATTTCAAACATTCTTGGTCAGACTATTTAGAAGCATAGGGCCCTGCAGGGAGCCATATGCTTCTGTCAGTCCCCCAGGATTCTGCTTCCTGAGCCCTCTGGAAGTCCACCCTCCCTTTTCCTTCCACCTGCTTCTCTCTTCCCGGTGGCCCTGCCCATCCTGATGTGAGGCACCCCTCTCTGCCTCCATTCCACAAAGCACTGCAAGAGAGACTCCTGATAACACCACAAGCCCTATATGGCTGATAATTTGTCTTCTTTCTAAGATTGCCTCTTTTTTTCCTCGGCTACCATTCATTTGGATGTAGCTTCTATAAATATGTACCTTTCACTCTCTACTACCGGTGATCAAATGTCCCAAGGCTAATAACTCTAGTGTGTCCTTCCTTCTCCTCCCCATTCCATGTTGTGTAACCATTTCTTTTGAATTAAAAACATTTCTTCCTGATGGGAGGAGAGAGACTCATAAGACTCAACATTTGGCAGATGTTATGTGAAAGTCTAATAGGTTATTTCAAGAGGTTATATAAGGGGTAAACAATTGCCTGGGAAGAAAAGACTCTCTGTGATGGAGCTGCTTGTAAGTTAGGCATAGAGCTCCAAGATGTAACTTTCATGTCTTGTCACCCCATGCTGGCGTGAGCTTTTCAATGATGTAGCTGCCTTTGAGCCACCCATCCTTCTGTAAGTAATCCCCCAAAACTCACTGGTTCACTAAGATATATTTGAGTGGGGTCATTTATTTGGCCTGTCATTGGCACCCCAACCTGGGGTGAATAGATATTTGTGCACATATCTCTAGGAAAAGTCACATAACACTGGACCCCTATATCTCTCCACGATCCCTGCTTCTTCACTGTCTGGGCATATGTCTTTCAAAACCTCAGCCTTGTCTTCTTACTCTCTCCACTCTGGCTCTTCTTCTGGTGATTGACTCAACCTCCCAGGACAATTCTAGCCCTCACCAGCTCCTTACTCTTCCAAGATGATTTTCCTTGAGGTTTATTGTAACTTATCACCAAACTGACCTTTGGGGAAATGTTAATGTGTTTTATAATGTGTTTCATTTGGCAGATATTATCTGAAAAGTATTTGGGGCTTCTTTTAAAGGTGTTATAGTTTGAGAAACGACTCAATTTTGATGTCAAAACTTTGACATGTCATCCCTCTCACTTCATTAAAGTCCATTAACTGTGACAGGTCAAGCTTGCTTTCAGTCAGGTCCAGAAGCTGCTGTGCAGTATGGGATTGATATTATCCATGCTAAACATTAAGCACCCATGGCAGGATTTTGATTCTTATTGGGTATCTTTTGGCAAATCACTTCACCAGCCTAAATCTTTGCTTTCTTCCTTGTCAGATGAATAAGTCCTCCAACCTGTATTTTTGTAAGATCATGTATTTACACGTCTGTACTAAATAACAGCTACATTCTAGGAATAATACAGACATGAATCAAATAATCATACCAATATATATTTACAAACAATGTCAAGTTAGTAGGTGTGGGGAACTATGAAAGCACTTATTAGGTGCAGTATGCCTGGTCAGGGACACAGAGATTTGAAGGATAAATAGGTAAGCAGGTAAAAAGAATGGCATGGTGAGGACCTGAGAAGGAGAGAAGATGCAAGCCACAGAAGCAAGCAGGAATCGCTTCACTACCCTAGGGTGGCTGGAATGCTCTTAGGGCTTATAAGGCAGTGATTGATCACATTTTAGTTTTCAAAAGCTCTTTCTTGTTACTGTGCTGAGAATTACAAAAGGAGTGAGGCTAGCCAGGCGTGGTGGCACTGCCTTTAATTACAGCACCTGGGAGGCAGAGGCAGGCATTTTTCTGTGAGTTCAAAGCCAGCCTGATCTACATGGTGAGTTCCAGGCCAGCTAGAGCTACATAGTGAGACCCTCTCTCTCAAAAAAAATGGCGTGAAGTTAAAGTGAGTGGTTGTAATATGTGGGTTTGGGACATCTCTAGGAACTTAGTTTATAGATAGGACTAATCATCCCAAGTTTGAATATTTTATTTTATTATTATTATTATTATTGTTATTATTATTATTTTGGTCTTTTTGAGACAGGGTCTCCCTGTAGCCCCAGCTGTCCTGGAACTCACTACGTAGACCAGGCTGGCCTTGAACTCACAGAGATCCGCCTGCCTCTGCCTCCTGAGTGTTGGGATTAAAGGTGTGCGCCATCACACCCGGCTTATTTATTTTTATTTTATGTGTATGTATGCGTTGCTTGCATGTATGTAAGAGCACCCGTGTTGTGCAATGCCCAGATAGGACAGAAGAGGACATTGGATACCCTGGAACTGGAGTTACCAACAGTTGTCAGCTGCCATATGGATGCTGGGAACTGAACCCAAGTCTTCTGCAAGAACTGCTAAGCCATCTCTCCAGCTCCTCATCCCCAGTTTGAGACAGAAGCTAATTAGAAAAGTTATGCCCAAACCAAGTGATTGACTCACCTTTTGTCCAATAATAGTGTTAGAAGGGGCGGAGGGTGGCTGTAGGACAGGAAAGCTGAGACAAATTACCTTTCAGAAGAACCTTATTAGGAAAGTTACAGGCTTATGGTTATAGGCAGCCATGAGGGGTCCCGAAGGTAGTGACAGACCTTTCAGTTTCATCTGCTCCTTCAGATCTTGAGAACAAAGGGAGTTTCTGATTCTTACAGATTTTCCTTTTTTTGGGGGGGCGGTGAGGTTAGTTCCAAAGCATGTGACCTAGACTGACCTGGCCTGACCTGGCCTCTGGAATGGAGGAAGGCCCTAGACAAGAGAGTAAAGTTGCAATTCAAGGTTGCCTCTGCCCAGGTATCAGGGGGAGTTGGGCTTGCTCACAACTGCAAGTGGAAAGGAGAGAACTCTGTGAGAGGTACAAGGCCACAGCAGTTCTCAGTAGCTGACCTTAAGAAAGAAGAAAAGTGGGTGGGGGGCATCGCCTGATTTCTGGAACAGAGAACTACAGCTAGAGGATCTGTGATCTAACAGCAAGGCTTTTCTAGATTGACCAATGTGCAGATTAACTAAAATGCATGGCCTCTATCAACAGCAGAACCTATTCTAATCATTGCTGTATTGTACCCAGTAAAACAGGAACAACCATTGTCATAGTTCATGTTCCTCAAAGATTTTCTGGGACAAGACCCAAACAATCCTCCTCTCTGGGGCTAATATCAGTAATTTACCCAAATGGGGACCCAGTTGACTTGCCTGATGATAGTGTCGTTGGTGAAGAACAGAGGTAGGAGAAGCAGCAGAAAGCTTTACATACAAATCAACCAGGCAGTCTCTTCACTGAGAAAAAGGTCCAGGGTTTCCTGGGAAAACAACTTGGGTCAATTGATCTGAAAAACTATATAGATCTTACTGGCCACAAAATAATAAGAAAAGAAACCACTGGCTTCCTGTCTTGCCCTCAGTTCACACAAATTGTTTAACTGCATGTCAACTCTGGAAGCCATTAAAGGGGGTCGTTAGGGCCCTTATTTTCCAGATAGGAAAAGTGAGGCCAGAGATCGGATATAATTTTAGAGAGAGCTATCAATGGACGGGGTACCTCTTTTTCTAGGAAACCGAACAGGCCAGGAAACTGGGGAACAGACCCTTTTTCGAATAGTTTTTGCTTGCTGAAGGCTCTCAGCAGTTTTCTCCTCCAAAGGCCTGATAAGTCTCAGTGCAAGTGTAAAATGACTGGCTAAGGACATGTGCACGGTTCATTTTACAAACGAGAAGGGCCAGGTCAGAGTCCTCAGAAAAGAGTCACAGGAAAGGATTGAGGCGTGCAATCTCTGCTTCTGGAGTCCTTCTGGAGCCTCAACTCTGGCTTCTTACCTTCTTAAACGCTCCCTTGCAGCAGACGCTTCGCCTGGTTGCTAGGGAACGAAGCGTCGCCACTCAGTTGCTAAGGGGAAGTCAAGCAGTAGATATCCGGGGTGAAAGTTGATAGATCACGTGACTATATTTCTGGGTGGGCAAACGCTTCTGACACCAACCAGCCCGGCAGAAAACAAACGTTTCTCCGTCTATGCACGTCAAGTTCTAGATACGCCTCCACTCTGCCCGCCTATCTAAATGATTGACACGTATTTTACCCAATAATAGTAAGGATTTTCTAGATTGACCAACAAGCCAATGAATCAAAATGCACGGCCAATCGTTCGGAGGCGGGCCCGCGACGTGCCGCTACGTCTGGGACTTAGCTTGCTCAGCGCCCAATCAGACGCCGCGGGGCGGGAGGGACTTCACTGAGAGAAGCGTGCGGTCCAATCGAAGGCGGGCTGGGAAGACGCTGTCCAATGGAGATGCTCCCGGAGGGCGAGGTCAGGCCGGCGCTCGGGCGTTCCAGAGGGTGGGGCAAGGGCTGGTGTCAGTCCGGGCGGACCTCGGCCACCGGCGTCCGGGTGGAGCAAGGCCCGCTGAGATGGAGTTCCTGCTGGGGAATCCGTTCAGCACCCCTGTAGGGCAGTGTCTCGGTAAGGTCGCGCGTGGTGCAGGCGTCCGGGGAGCCATGGCAGTGGACCCGGTTGGTGAGGTCCGCGGGCCTGCGCCGGGCACCCGTGCAGTCTCACGTGCGGGTGGGCCTCTGCCAGGAAGGGGTATTATCTCACAGGTGGACCGGGCACCCTTGTGGTGAAGCCTCTTGCCTGACACTGGTGTCATCTCAGCCTGCCCGGAGGCACCCCTGGACAAAGCCACAACTTGGACTCAGAGAGGTTCCTTGCATCCTATCCCTCAGGACCCAGCCCTTCCGGGCTCTCCCTAGAAGTGGTGCCCATGTTGGGCTGCTTACCCTTGCAGATTGGGAGCTGTCACGCGAGCACCCTTAACCAGGCGGGTGTCTTGGTGCTACTGCTCCCCGGGCCTAGTTCTCCCAGAGCCTTTGTGGAATGTCACCTCCTTCTTCCACCCTTGTCCCTGTTCATGGGTACCAGCGGCTCTAAGACTGGGCACCCTCCCAGAAGATGCCCCATGCTCCCCGACTTGCTAATTTGAGCTGCAACTCAACCATGCTGTAGAAGGGACTGGAATGGGGGAGGCGCTGAGGGAAGGTGACTGTCTCATAGGGAGATGGCAAGATTACGGAGCCTCCTAGGAAAGAAGGGAGGCCGTGTTTAATGATGAGCATGCCATTGGAACCCGGAAACCTGGGCTCCAGTAGTGACTTTGTCAGGGACTCTCCTCTTGACCTTGCACCCTTTCTGTTTTGAAGGTCTCCTGTCCCATGAGGTGTTTGGAGATGAAATGTGGTGGGACCCTTCAAGTCTCAAAGTTTTGTTATTCAGTGTTTCCTCACATTGACTCCGGTTCTCATACTGTATTAAACTGGCAAGGCTGAAATCTTGCTGGCAGTATAATGTAGTGCTCAGCATTACTATTGGTCCTAGAGGGGGCCTCTGGGCTGACAGAAAAGGGAGCCAGAGATGGGCAGCATGCCAGACTGGGAAAAGCACAGGCAAAAGAACAACAAAGTACCTACTGTGGGATTTCCTTACTGAGAAAGCCACTTGCAGGCTGGGGCATAGGTGGAGTGTGAGTTTAGGACACACAAAACCCTAGGTTTGATCTCCAGCACTGCAAATAATAATAAGCAAGCAACTTGCCTTTTCACCCAAGGCAGGTTCTTATGCCAAGTTATCAGTTGAGAATGCTGATTAGTTTCTTTAAAACTGGGTCTCCAGGTTGGTCGGAGGTATGTTTTATAAACAGGGATCTGTACTGTCTTTATGATCTGCTGAACTGAATGGTGAAGGCAGTAGAGATTTACTTATTTCATACTTTGCATATGTATTTCTGGTTACTTTTAAGCCTTTGGGGGGGGCTGTGAACTCTCTGTTGGCTAACTGTCATTTAGGGGCCTTTCTTTCCTTTATTGTACATTGTCTTTTTTTTTTTTTTTTTTTTTTTTTTTTTTTTTTTTAAAAAAGGGTCATGTTTCCCCCCCCCAAATTAACCCAAGGCTAAAGGGCCTAAGTGACCGTTTTGGCAGGAATTTGGACACCTTTGAACATGGTGGTGGCCACTCTTACAACCACAAACAGATTGAGGTATGAATGCTTCCATTGGTGCTTCTTTGGGTGGGGGACTGGATGGTTCCAGCATATTCAAGGCCTTTTAGAAAGCCACAAACACTCAAAGCCTGAATGCTAAAACTGAACCTTCCCTTTCTGATTCCTAAGGAGGCTTTTCTTTTTCTTTTTCTTCAGATTAAAAC